ACCTGAATATCTCAGTATAAAACTAAACACTGGTGAACTGTTCTCCTTGCTAATTCTGAATTACTGTAAAATGTACAGTAGGTCTGCTAAGAGTTTGACACTTAAATAGGTTAAATTGTCTCACACATGGTAGATTTCACATAATGAAAATACCTAGAAATTAATGCAATATACGGAACTTAGCAAAATAAAGTGGACTTTGAAAAACAAGGCTGCAAGATAAGTGTTACTAACATTGTAATGTTTATGCTACAAATTACAGATACATTTCTTATTATGGTTCTAGCCATGTAGGAACTGGAGCCCCTTCTTTGCAAAGGGAGAGAGGAAGAATTAGTAGTTTTAGTAACTGTACACTTTGTATACTTTTAAGCAACTCTTAAATATTACAAAAAAGTAATAAACATACGTGGAGGCTGCAATGCAATATCCTATTTACAGTACAGCTGAAGATAAAATTTAAAACAATCAAGTTTGAATGTATATAATTATTAGTGCACTGACTATATTATCTCCAAGGGGAACAGAAGCCTCTTCCCTGCCCCAGACAAGACCTATGTAATGGCCTACAGTGATTGAAAAAAATCAGATACCTGGTTTGCTTTTTTTTTTTTTTTTTTAAGAGTTCACATGAAGGGAACATTATTCATTAAAAATGCATTTCTTGGGCTGGGAATATAGCTCAGCAGCACAAGCTCCTGCCTGGCAAGCGCAATGTCCTGAGTTCGATTCCCTGTACACCCCCCCCCCAAAAATGCATTTTTAGTTTTCATAGTGCTAAACAAGGTAGGGGTACATTTGACTTCCTTACCTCATTTAGAAAAATAGTAAGATGGGCTATAACTTAGATGCTATTAATACTCCTTTTCTTCCTGGAAATGTGGGACTGTTTTCTTGTGGTTAACTTACTAAAATGTGGAGTGTTCACCTTAGGTAACAGAAGAAAGGTTTCCTGAATACTGTAGCTAGGCATAAATATATTTATATCTTTCTAAAAATGTTTTGCAGAAAGGCCAAATTAATAACTTCCAATTTTTTCACACATGACTACTGTCCCAGTTTGGAGAAACTGGATGGTTAACTGTGGGTCCAGATAATCATTTGTCTTTATTTCTAATGATGAGAAATGATTACATCCAACTTTCCAATGAAACAATTGCACATAGATCTCATTTTCCCTTTCTGTTGCTGAAACATTAGTCAGAGGGACACATGCATATTGTTAAAAATCAAGTTCAAGGGGCTGGGGATTTAGCTCAGTGGCACAGTGCCTGCCTGGCAAGTGTGAGGTCGTGAGTTCGATTCCCGGTACTGGGAAAAAAAAAAAAATCAAGTTCAAAACACTTAAAACAATTTTGTAGTAGAAATTTGACTCTATCATAAGTCTCTTGGTTTTTTTGGGAGTCATACTGGGCTGGTTAAATGCTCCAGTTCCATTGTTATTAACATTTAGGAAGCAGAAGATTCCAGCTCACTCAAACTGGAGATTTAGTTACTACAGCACTGATTTCTGGTTGGTTGTGTAGGTTCAGTGAAGTCTACTCCTCTTCCTCTAGCAGAATTTGCTCCTGGATTCTGTGGCTCATTGTTTGGCAACTTTTTAGCTATTGCCATGAATATTTCATTTACAATGATTGATGTTTTGGCTGATGTTTCCATGAATAATAAGCTGTTGTCATGTGCATAGGGCTGTGCTTCCTGGAAATCTACAGCTCTTTTATTTACTAGATTAGCCTTGTTTCCTGATAAAGCTATTACAGTGTTAGGTCTTGCTTGCTTCTGGAGTTCTTTAACCCAGTTTTTTTTCTCTTGCAAGATTCCTCATTTGTGATATTATGTACAACTATAACTGCTTGTGCGCCTCTGTAGTACATTGGTGCTACACTGTGGTATCTTTCTTGACCGGCTGTATCCCATATTTCAAAGTTAATGGTCGCGGGGCTGGGGATTTAGCTCAGCGGTACAGCCACTGCTTGGCAAGCGCAAGGTCATGCGTTCGATTCCTGGTACTGGAAAAAAACAAA